ATAAAATGACATAAAGCTAGATAATAAAGCATAAGGATTCGATAAGTACAGTACATTTAGAACAATGACACATACACAAAGGAGTCACGATCTTTTCCCTTACAATGCACTGAGCAGAGTCCGGTGAGAAACTGGTGGGCATAATGTGTGGGGGTTAGGAAGAAAAGAGGTAAGGAAGCGAGCAGGGCTTTTATGTAAAGCACCTTCCTCTCAAGATGCTAACTTGGAAGGTTAGTTGTGTGGTATCATTTCAAATATTCAGAGGTTAGAAAAGGGGAGGAGAAGAAACCTTCACTATCTGAAGATAGGAAAAGCCATTTTTTGGGGGTTTTTTTTAATATTTTATTTATTCATTTGAGAGAGCACAAGCAGGGAGAGAGGGAGAAGCAGACTCCCCACTGAGCTGGGACCCTGACATGGGACTTGATCCCAGGACCTGGAGATCATGACCCGAGCTGAAGGCAGATGCCCAACTATCTGAGCCACCCAGGTGCCCCTGGAAAAGCTGTTTTAAAATTTAATACAGCTTTGCAGAGGGTAACATCACAAATTCCAAATGATTTTGTATCAGTGAGATCATGTATTACAGTGCATTGTTAATTACTTTAGTGGGGCTTTTTCCCTGTTTTTCCCCAAAGCCCTCTTTTTTTTTTTTTTTTCTTTTCTAAAACCACTCCATGCCATGTATCCAGTGACATGGAAAATGCTTGAACAACCAGCAGCCCCTGAGTGCCTTATCCTCTGGAACTCCTACATTATTTTAAAAGTGACATGACCCTTCTAAACAATCTTAGCACATGGAATGGAGAGAGAGAAGGCGAAGGCCAATGATAAGGAAAGCTAAGTGAGGCCACAGAATAAATTCGCTTTTGCTGCATCTGTTGAGCTTAGAGGCATCTCCAGACACAAATCTAAACAGTATGCTGTTCTCTGAGCAGCCAATAGAAAGTTCTGTGTGGAGGAGAGGAGGGGAAGAGCCTTGGGCAAGGCTGAGCTTTACAAAGCATGGAGCTGGCAGGGAGAACATGACCAGCCACACAACGGGTCAGTATGCCAAATTTTCATTAAATTTGAAACTGTTAAAAAATAAAACCTAAACGGGGCGCCTGGATGGCTCAGTTGTTAAGCGTCTGCCTTCAGCTCAGGTCATGATCCCGGGGTCCTGGGATCGAGCCCCGCATCGGGCTCCCTGCTTGGCGGGAAACCTGCTTCTCCCGCTCCCACTCCCCCTGCTTGTGTTCCCTCTCTCGCTGAGTCTCTCTCTGTCAAATAAATAAATAAAATCTTAAAAAAAAAAATAATAAAACCCAAACAACTAAGAAACTCTTAATTTCTGAAGGAAAGAAGAAGATGGATGGAATTTAAATACACCTTTTAAAGATCCCCTTTATATACACATCTAGTCATGTTTAATTTAGAAACGTAGTCATGTGGTATGCATAGTTGGTTTGATTAAAAAAAAAATGTGCTGTTGTACATTTAAAGAATATGCCTAGAAAAAGCAGGCAACTTTTCTTTTTTAACCAAATGTGTCTTTTGAGGAAATTATCCTTCCAAACATTTGGGCTCTCCCTTTTCTTGGGCTTTCAGGGTTTTGCTGACAGAAAAACTCTCGTCTACTAAAAAAATTAAAAATAGTAATACAAAGCCCAAATGTCAGTTTCCCATTTCCACCTCTCTGTTTCTAACACGTTTCTCACTGGCTCCTCTGTGCTCTCAAGAACAGCATTCTGTTTTCACCTTTTTGCTAGAACTTAAGCGCTTTGAGATTCTCGTGTATATACCAACCTCCCTGAGGTCAGGAGTTTTGCTTTGAAATTGTTTACCCCAGAGCATCTCTGACCAAGCTGTGGCAGCTCCTTTGCTGGCTCCTCCTCCTTGCCACTGCATTAATGTTAACTTTCTGGTGAATTCTGACCTTGGCCTTCTTCTCCTGCTACTTACCTTAAGCAACCACACCCATGCTCCTAGTTTTTTGAGGGGCAGAGGTCGAGAGAGAATCTCAGGCAGACTCCCAGCTGAGCACAGAGCCCGATCTCACAACCCTGACTGAGATCATGACCTGAGCCGAAATCAGGAGTCGGACGCTTAACCGACTAAGCCACCCAGGCGCCCCGCCACACTCCTAGTTTTAACCGCTACTTGCATGCAGATGATTCAAGTCCATTCCTCCATTCCAGACTTTTCTCTTGAGCTCCAGACTCATAAAACCAACTATCCAATGAACTGGGATGGATCGTGGGCCTCCCAGATGCAGTAAGTAAAAACCTTGTTACCTCTCCCCTATATGGACCTCCCGAATATGAGTCCCCTTACGATAAATGGCACCACATTAACCCATTATACAAGTCAAATATGGGGTCATTCTGATCATCTTTTTCTTCACCCACATCAATCGGATGATTCTCTTTCCCTAATAAAAAACTCAAATTGTCTTGCATAAGTTCAGTGGCCGGCAAAGCCAGTAAATATTTAACAGCTAGCTTTCCAGAAAAACAAAACAAAATAAAAACACCCTGATTTATAAATTTGCCAACATCCATGGCATAAATATTTCATTAATGACTGTCTATTGCTATCAGCTATTGCTGTCACTGAATACAACAAAGCTGGGGAGAAATGGCCAGTAGCACACCATTATATAGTAAATACACCATATAGAGACAATAAACATAATATCCTCAAAAGTACATGTAATAGTAAAATGAAGCAAAATAAATAAGGAAGTGATCCATTTTGAGTATTTAACATTTGTAATTTAATTATAAGTTTATATAATTTAATTGCTTATAATGGCTGAGTGACAACTGGCTCTCACAATTCCTGAAAATTTAACCATGGGCACTTGCAAGCAGGCTACTTTATGGTCTAGAGCCTCTTTGACAGCCAAGCCATATTTTTCTCCCTGTATGTCTCTTCTCTTTAATCCTATGCTTTGTTGATACTAGAACATTTTCACCTGCCTAATGAAGCTGTCTTTGCCAGCCACGTTCCTGACGTTCCCAACCCCTCCTGCTTCACCCCGTTCACCTGACAAACACCCACTCATCTTTTGAGGCTTAAAGTCATCTCATTTATAAACCTGTTCCCCAATCCCTACCCCCTTCTTCTAGGTATCATTGTACCTGAGTACCTTGTGCATATTTTTAGCATGACACCTGGCTAGTATTTATTGTTTACAAGTTTAACTTTGCTTCTAGACCATGTTGCCATGTCTTGTGCATTTTTGTACTCAAATACATAGGCCCTTTAAAAAAGTTATCGAGAAAATTAATGCTAATACTAGTAGACACTCAGTAAATGTAGAGTTGAGCCCACTTCCCCCAGGGATCAAACATTTTTTTCTCTAAAGACTTCTTGTAGATTGCTGGACACTCTCTGCCACTGTATCCTCTCCAGAACCATGAGCTCAATCATTCACTTAAAGCACCCCAACTATTTTGTCATAATGGAAAGAAATCTTTGGGTACAAATGATCTGCAAAGCACAGAAAAGAAAGAAAGAAAGAGAAAGAAAAAAAGAAAAAAAGAAAGAAAAGGAAAGAAGGTAAATGTACATGTACATCTTTTAGAATTGTTTCTAGCTTTATATAACAAACCAACCTCTTCCTTAGAGCAATTCCAGCCACAGAGAAAGTAACATGCCTTCTGTTTGGGCCTCTGTTTCCTTAGTTGCAAGTTGGAATTGACCTTACTGTTGCCACCCAAGATGCAACTCAGTGACTTCCAAAATTCTGCTGACAATTTCCCTCTCTAAACTCTTCCCCAAGCCCAGTTCTGTTGTCTTTAGAGCTGCTTCATCTGATGATTCCATACAGCATCAAGATCTGCATTAGTCTGTCCTTTCTGTGCCTTTTGCTAAACCCAGTGCTCTACTAAAAGCGGGTTCTCTTACAACCCTCTGTGTCTCAGAGTTCTCTCTCTTTGCCTTCAGCTACTGACCACTAAGTCTTTTCTCAGGCAAACCACCCACATGTCTACTAAGTGATTACATTTCCACTAGTCCAGGCCTCAGCCAGCAGATTTCTCTCAATACATGTATTATTTAAGGAGTCATTCCCTGCCTAGCTTCCAACCAATTTTTCACAGAGACAAAGATTACCTTTGCACATACCGGAATTGCTTTATCTAATATGCGGGAGTCAACTGAGCAATTCTCAGGGGAAAGAATTCTATTTGATTCCTCTCCAGCTCAGTACTGCTACAATGACGCACTCAAAAAATACTTGCTGAATGAACCAAAAGAACACATGTTGGGGTGTTTTTCTCATGAAAAGTACCCAGAGACTGGCACAACACCAATGAGACCTTACCCCCAAGTGGCTTGCAGGCTAAGAAGGCTGATTGCCCAGCTCTTTGGCAGTTTTAAAATTTTCAGGCCAACCCACGTCTAAGTTGATTTGTCCTGAGGTCTTGTTTGACTATGCTACACTGGTAGCATGTCAGTGGGGCCTGCCAGGTCCTTAACTAAAATAAACAGATGAAATGTTCACAAGCTATCAAAACCTTTAGCTCCGTGAGTTTCGGAGCGCATTGACACTGAGCTCGGTTTAACTGATAAAACATGCTCCTGGTATCTTTCGATTAAAAATAGCATTAAAAAAGGTGCATTCTTTGGATAAGTCAAACTGAGGCACAAGAGTTTCCCACCAGGATGGAAGTTTCTGGATGGAATCTGGCTGGCAGCTGAACAAGTGAATGGTTGCAGCTCTCAGCCCCTCCCTCCCGTCCAGCCAGACAACTGTTACCTCAGGGCAGAGGGAAAGTGGTTTGGCAATCCCGACAGATGGACAGCTGACAGAACGGACCCTCCCCCAGGCCCCAGGCCCCAGGCCCCAGGCCCGTGCAGCTGCGTGCTGGCCTGGTAGACAATCAGCCGTCTCCCCCCGAGGAGGGGAAAGAATTGTGCAGCCAGAAAGAAGCTCTCAGCGGGAGGGAGGCGGCGGGCTTGAGTGACATGCGGGAGGGCCGGCTTTTTGGAGGGCTCTTAGCAACGGCCCCGGTTTGACCCGCGTCAGCCAGGAGAAAATCGAATCAGTCAGTGTACCACTCTTCCAGGCGCCATGCAGCATCAGCAACTGAACGTCAAGGCGGCCTGCCTTCCTGCCTGTTAAGGACCTGCTCTCTCCCAGGCCAGGGTCCCCGCCTCTGCGAAGCGCTTCTAGAGAGGGGGAGCCACGACCACCACCCAGGCCCCGGCTGCCGTAGGTGGTGGTGGTGGTGGGGGGGGTTCGGCCTCGACTGTGAGTCCGTGCGCATCATCTCATCTCATCCCATCGATAGGCGGGACCTAGAGGGGCGTTCCGGCCCCCCTGGACCAGCAGGGGCTTCATTCTAGAGTCACTGGCGCGTGGCTGCGCTTTTCTTCCGCGTTGGTAGGTGAAACCCCAGTGGCTTCATTGGCTCCTTGATTTAAACCACGCCCGGCTTTCTGCCCGCTTTGCTGTTGCTGCGGGGCCGCCCAGCCCCGCGCGTCCCAGCCCCGCTCGCAGGGAGCCCGGGGCCGCTGCTGCCTTTGTGTGGATGCGGCGCGTGTCCTCTCTTCTCTTCCAGAGATGGCTAACAGGGGCCCGAGCTACGGCTTAAGCCGAGAGGTGCAGGAGAAGATCGAGCAGAAGTATGACGCGGACCTGGAGAACAAGCTGGTGGACTGGATCATCCTGCAGTGCGCCGAGGACATAGAGCACCCGCCCCCCGGCCGAGCCCATTTTCAGAAATGGTTAATGGACGGGACGGTAAGGCCAGGGCGGTCTTGGTTGCTGGGACGGCGGGCTGGGAAGCCCTCCAGGGCTTTCTCTTCCAACGCCAGGCTGCGGGAGGAGCTGCGGCTGCCAAGCTCTGTGTCTCGCGGGGTGGGCATGGGCATGCCTTTATTTCTCCAGGTTGAAGATCTGGACTCCCCGCACAATTCCCTAGCTGGCTTAGAGGATTCTCCACCCACCCGAGACGTGGCAGCTCCCTCTTAAGTTGTTGCCGAATTAGAAGCCTTTTTGCTTTTTTCCCCGTGGGAATAGAGATAAGGATTTCCCTTCGATTTCCCCAGCCTGTTGGCCCCTCAGCTCTGGGAGGATTATTCCTTCCCCCCCGGGAATGGGTTAGTTACAAAGTACAACAAAGGAAGGAGTCAGGAGGACTAAGCACCTGGCCATCCTTCCCTTCCTCCCCGGAGCCCTGCAGCCTGGGGCTGCTGAATGTCTGTTGAAGGCATGGGTTCTCAAGAAACTGAAGGGAATCCTTATTTGAGAGCTGCTTTTCTGAGCAGAGGCTCTGGTGCGTTTGGGGGTTGGGGACGGCTGATCGCACCAGCCCATGTTTTCCCCAGGCTGTGATTTACTGTTACGTAACAGCTATTCCCCACTTCTGTTGGGTTGCCCAGGACTTGGGTTAGGGGCATCTAGGAGGATGGTACCCGGTTCAGTTCTTTCATACATCATTGGCACATATGGGATGAATTATTGAAGGCTGATTCTGATCTGCCTTTTGATAGAAGATATAATATTAGATCCTGTTATTAGACCTCCCTTCCCTCCCTTGAAAGTCTGCAATCACGGCCTCATCACCACACATTGTTCCCTATTTGTAAACATTCTTCCCGCACCCCCACCCTCCAGAGAAAGGAAGCCCGGAGCAAGGAGGGAAGGGGATTCCTAGGCTGCAGGCCCCACTGCAGTGGGGAGCAGCCCTGGGAGTGAGGCCACCTGAGTCTTTGGGATTTGGCGTGGGAACCTGGCCACCCAGCCCGGAGCCAGCGCCTTCCTAGGGCGCAAGACTTGCCTCTGCCCAAACCTGTAAGCTGCGCCCTGTAGGGCCTGGATTCACTTTTCGTACGTGACGGGTAAATACAAGGGAAACATTGATTTTTGTCTCCCCTTTCTCCCTGTAGGTCCTATGCAAGCTGATAAACAGTTTATACCCACCAGGACAGGAGCCCATTCCCAAGATCTCTGAGTCAAAGATGGCTTTTAAGCAGATGGAGCAAATCTCCCAGTTCCTAAAAGCTGCAGAGATCTACGGCGTCAGGACCACTGACATTTTTCAGACAGTGGATCTATGGGAAGGTAAACAGCCTTCGGGCCTTTGGGACTGCGCCCTCCATCCTCTCCACTTTGCCCATCTCTTTGTGAAACCTGCTCGCCATGTTCTTCCCCGGGCCTGCGTGTGCCCCTGCGGGGGGGTGGGAGCTGGGGTGGGGGGCGTTATCCACCGTGACCCAAGGGCACTGTTAGCCTACCCCTTTGTGATATTCTATTGAAAAGGGTCTCCTCCTCTGAGGGAACGCACTCCCTGAGGACATGGCAGGGACCTCAGCAAACTAGTGTGGAAAAGAGAGGACTCCGCGGAGAGGAAGCTAAAATGGTTACATGGATGTCTTTTATTCCTGCTACCCCTCCCACAACGTAACTCTTGCCGAACAAATGGTAGCTACTGGAGGAGAAGGGGGGTGGTAAGCCTGCTTCTGACTCACCAGCAGCAGGGCTTTCAGACAAAGCTGCCGGGTGCCGTTGTGTCATTCAATCTGAGAAATCACGAGCATCCCGACCTTTTACTAAACTATTGTCGGAGGGCTTGGGGACTCTACCTTCCAGATATGTATTCCACTCAGAAAGTAGGACACGTGATTTTTTCTTTCACATTTGTGACTTCACTTAAGACGTGTTATGAGGCATAAAAATCAAATCCCGTTTCTGGACGTATTTAACAATCCAGTGTTATTGGGGAAAATGATGTGACTGGAGACACTGCCCAAGAATTTGGGACCCATGGGCATAGGGCCTAGTGTGCCCCTCGAGCCCAAATGTGTGTGGCCCTCCGTGCAACTGTTTCACGTGAAGCCGGCCAGGCTCTGGAGATACAGAACAGCTCAAGCGGGCCTCTAGGCCTGCTCTGCTCCCTCATGCTCGCTGGCCCTGGCTGTTGTCAGTGGTCCAACCAATAGGACACCCAGGGAAGTGGCATTTCCTGTTTCCTTCACATTCGAGTTATTAAAGTCCTAAGACCCTGGTCAGGTTACCTGTGTTTTGCCATTACTGAGAAACTCAGATATCCAGTCCTTAGGGTCAGGCCATGGGACTTCGTGGATACTTATCTCCACATCCTCATGGATGTCACAGTTGAGGCTTGGTTTTTGCTCTTTAGATCACAACTGGGATGATTTTCCCAGCTAATAAAGATAGCCACTGCTTATGGATAGTTTTCCATCTAGGAGGCATGGTGCAAGGACTTTACTGTGTAATGCCAATCAGTTCTCCTACAATTCTATGAGGTGTTATTAATTTTCCCATTTCATAGAAGACGATGCTGAGGCTTGCCCATAATTACTTGTTACATCGTATGGCCAGTAACTAGCAGCAGAGCCGGGGCTCAAACCTGAACTCTGATGCCGGAGAATAGGGCCTCGACTAGCGTGCCATGCCACGCTCTGACCAGGAGGCTGTCTCCTTCACCTACACCAGGAGCTGGGCTGTTGAGTCCTAACGGTGACTGAGGAGGATGAAGATGAGGAGGAGGAGTCAGGGCTGTGTGGGACACAAGGATGGAGCCCCTGCATTAGGGGGTTCTTGTGAATAGAAGGGTGAGTCCCTCCCCAAGTACAGAAAGTAGGAAGAGGATGAAAGTGGGAGATGGGGACCCCGAGAGTGCTTTCCTGTCTTTACGTGACTGAGGCTATTCTATTTGCCTTTCCACGTTTATCAAAGACCACACAGGGAAACTTTATATCCCAGAGGTGCTGGCAGTGAAGAGGAGGGGTGGAGGGAGCAATGGTTCCTGATTGACAGAGCAGGGGGAGGTCTACACCACCTGCCCCAGCCCTGTATGTTCATACTTCTTAAGGGAAAGGGGGGTCAAGAAGCAGGAGTGAGACTGACTATGGTAGCCCGAGGTAGGGTAGTGGACAGGCAGGCTCCAGGCCGCGTTAATGCTCCTAGAAAACAGGAAACGAGGCAGACACCGAGGAGTCTCATCCCCGGGGTGGGGGGGATGTATGAAGCTTGAAAGGAAAAGAAGGGGACTCACTCCAAGGGTTTGTGACTGACCTGGTTTAGGTGGCCGTGGCTGGCAATAGAAAAGCGGATGCTTGGGGGTGCCCAAATGGCCTCTGGTGGACCCTCCATGGGAGACTGAGCACTGACGTTCAGGAAGAGTCTTTCTAAGCATTAGAGGGGATGCTCAGGATCACCGACTGAGGCTCAGGCCGGAGCTGGTTACCATACAGTGGGGCAAGCGGTGGGAAGGCGGGTGGCTTCGGGCAGAGGAGGGAGGGGCCGAGCGGGCCTGGAGCAAGGTCAGGGTGAGACCCGAGGGAGGAGGCTGGGTCCTTTCTGCCAGAGCCTGCTGTCGCTCCTGTTTGGGGAGGAGCAAGCTAGAATCAAAGGGACGCCACCAGGCAGGGTTGGCATGTGTCTGCATGCCTATGAGGGTGTACGTGTTTACATATACAGCTATTGAATTAGCCATTTGCTTAGCTTCCTGCCACACTGTCCCCACTGTGCCGACTGTGGTTTTCAGTTTATTGCCATTCACTCCCGATTCCACGCACTGTGGGTGTGGAGGCCGTGGCTGCCACTGGTCCAGTCCTCCTTGTCTGGGGACTTCTCTTCCTCCTCTGCAGGCATTTTATGCTCAACAGCTCTCTGCCCCCTGCCCCCCATCTTCCCTGCTTGGCACCTTCCCAGTAGCGGTCGGTTGCCCACGGCTGCCCAGTGACTCCATGTGGCTCTGATGTTGTGGATGAATAAAGCTGCAGGAGCCTCGGCTTGCCAAGTGCCTTCTCACTTAGGGTTCCATTTTTTTAGAGAGGCAGAGGCCCTGGATGGACCCATTGTCCTGAAGCCCCTTTTTAGATGCACAGTGAAATGTTTGCAGTGGACTTGGGAGCTACCAGAATAAACGGTTCAGGGCTTTGAAAAGGAACCCAGAGCTAAATGGCCCAGAAAACAACCCAACCACAGGGATATTAGAGACAAAGCTACTGAAGTTCCCCTGGGAGGAAGCTGGGGTCGAGCAGTCCCTCTCAGGGCTGGGGAAGAAGCGAGGGCCGAGGGCCGCTTAGAGGACTGAAGAAGTTCTTCTCTTGGAGGATGGAAGGTCAATGCCTGGAAGGTTCTGGCTTTGCCATGGGCGCCCGGAAGGGGTAGGAGTGGGACTGTCTCAGCTGTCCGTGACTCAGGAGAGCATACCGGAGGTTCGGCATCTTTCCTGTGGAGAGAAAGTGGGCGGGAGAAAAGGGAGGAGCAGGAAAAGGAGGTGTGTGTGTTTGTGTGTGTGAGAGAGACAGAGACAGAATGAGAGAGAACACATGAGAGCTAGGGAATGTGTGGGTCAGAAAGACACAAAGAAAACTTACCCTGGAAGCTAGTAGAATGCAGATTTCTGAGTCAGAAATTAGACTGCCTAGTTCACACCTCGACTCCACCACCTATCAGTTAACTTTTCTAAGCTTCGGTTTTCTCAACCGGAAGAACGGGTATTAGTGTCTATTTTATGGGCTTGACATGGGGATGGAATGGGACGATGCCTCAGAAGTGCTTAGCATAGTGGTTGGCAATCATAGAGCGTAATGTATGGTGGCAGTGTGAAAATTACTGCTGTCATTCGCCTGTCCTGTTGTAGGACAAATGGACAATGAGGGCAGGAGGAGCAGGCTGGAAAGGCACATATTCTGTCTTGGAACAGATGGACTTCATGAATGGTTTCACACAGAAGCCGGTAGGGTTGCCTGGATGACATTTGCCCCCTGTCATGGGTGGTGTCTTCCCTGCATCGGCCATTCTCCAGCACGAAGGGACGAGCTTTGCACGCCCCCTTTTGACTTTTTTCTCTCTCGTGGTCATTACCCTCTTGACGTCTTTCCCTGCAATATGTCGCTTTGCCAATTACAGACCCAGGAGATCTTGGTTCAGTGGAAGGAGCATGAGTTTGGAGTCAGGTAGATGGGTTAAAACTATTTAGCTACATCCCAGCTTCGTGAACTTGTTCAAGGGCTTGGCTTCTGAGAGCCTCGGTTTCCTTCTCTATAAGTAGGTCTAGTGCCTTCCTCAGAGGGTTCTTGTAAGGACTAAACGTGTACAATGCCTAGCACAACGCCTGGCTAGCAGACACCTAATAAATGTTGGCTTCTTTCCCCTACTACAAGCCTGCCAGCAACTAACCTTTTGTTTCCTTGGCATCCCCACATGGTGAGCAAGCGTTAGGCAGGTAGAATTCTAGAATGCCAGAGTGGGCAAGACTCAAAGATCAGTCCAGTCTGATGACTTCTCTCAGTAGTCCTACTGACAGGGATCCTGGACACATGGTTTCACCCTGCCTCCCTGTTCCCCTTCCGGGATGACTGGGAGTTAGGGAGGAGTGTGGTTCCCACCGGGGGTGGAGTACCTGGAAGGTCCAAATATACTCTCTGGGGAGGCACCATTGTGTGTGTCACTCCTTAACAGCAAGAGCAAAGAAACATTTCACCCAACTTGAGAGACATTTTGGGATCTTGTGAGGTACCTGGAGTGACTTGAGTCACCACACATGCCTGCTGCGTGCAGCCTCCTTTCCTGTCAGAGCAACCTCAAGCGCTGCCTGCTCGTGATCGTGGTGGGCAGGTTTTTCACTCAGCAGCGGTTCCCAGCCTCCAGCGTACAGCAGAATCAGCCAGCAGGCTTAGGAAAACACAGCCCCAGAGCTTCTGAGGTATTAAATCTGGGGTAGGACCCGGGAATGTGCATTTCTTACCAAATCATAGGTAACGCTGCTTTGGCTGGTCTGGGAACCCCACTTTGAGAACCACTGCCCGACAGAGTGTCTCCAGGAAGGCAAGCAACAAAAATTCATAAAACTCACAGAGCAAGCCCAATCTATTCTCTGACATTTCTCCTTTGACCGTAGCAATAGTTCCTCTACCTTGAGGAGAGAATTGGGGTCATGCCTAAGTTATTACTCAGGGAAAAAAGAAATGGTTCCAGAAAGATGAAAAAGGTCAGTATTCCAGAAGTAACAAAGATGAGTCAAGACTAATAAGAAAAAAAGGACTAAAGAAAAGACTAAAAAAAAAAAAAAGGAAGTAGCTCTGAAGCAAAGAGTTTGGGCTATAAATTGTAAAAAACTTTTAGTATTAAAAGTAGAGTGTCCAGTCTGACTTTACCCGCCCAAATGACCTTTCTCTGGTCTTTTTTATTTCCCTTTTACCCTTCCGATTATTTTTTCTTCCCAAAGACATGCATAAGATATCATGAAAGCAACAACAACAAAAAAAATTCAAGAGAACAAAATCCCTGTTGAAGTATCCTTATGGTAGTAGCACTCAAACTTTATGGGTATTAAGGATCCCTGGTGGTGGGACGCCTGGGTGGCTCAGTTAAGCATCCGACTCTTGATCTCAGCTCACGTCTTGGTCTCAGCTCAGGTCTTGATCTCAGCGGCCTGAGTTCAAGCCCTACATGGGGCTCCACGCTGGGCATGGAGCCTATCTACTTAAAAAAAAAAAAAAAAAAGTCCCGGTTGTGGGGGCGGGGACCTGACAATACAGAACCCTTGGCCCCACCCCCCAGAGGTCATCATTTCATAGTTTGGTGCTTGGGGAAACACCGCCCTGTGATAATGCAGCAAAGAGGGCACACCCAGATGTCAAGACTCTCTGAGAAAAGGTCTGCCAGGTGAGACAAGGGAAGCTACCATACTACACCACTGTCTTGTTTCCCACAATTGCAAGTCTAATATTAGCCCCTCCCATACGAGTCCAGGTCACCTTATCAAAATGCTGAGCTGTTCATGGACATTTGGCACCTCCTATTCCCTGTGTCACTTCCCATTTTAACGGCCAGTGGTCTCATTTTTAGGTCACCACCAAGGACTCAGCATCTAGAAAATTCCCAGCACTTTCCTCTAGTTGGTACTTCTTTCAGGACCGTTTTTCTTCTTTTTTTTTTTTCTTGGAAGAAAAGCCTTCAGCAGTGGTTTTCGAGCTGTCTTGCCAAAATATCTAGGGGTAGCTTTTAGGGAGCAAAGAGATTCCATGCTGCCAGGATTCTGAGCTGGCTCCCGACTTGGATCAGAGCCCTTCTAATTATTGACTTTACCATTTGATTTTGGGGAAGATAGTTCTGATGGGAGGAGTTATTGCTTAAGGAATATTACGTAGTAACTTACCATGTGCCAGACATTGCAATGTTTTTCAAAAGTGAAAAACCAAAGTGCTGGAGCAATGGTGCCTATCCATCTGGCTATAGCAAAATCATCCCAAGAGATTGTTCCAGAATCTGAATTTTTAAGATTCTCAGATATTTCTGATGATCAGTCTAGTTTGAGGGTCATCATGTTTCTCAGACTTGCCTGATGGTGTAAATTACCTGGGGAGCTTATTAAAAATACGAACTTCCAGGCCTCCCCCCAGGCCTGCTGAATCCGTCTCTCAGGGGAATGATGTCAAAATGCATATATATTTTTTTAAGATTTTTTTATTTATTTGTGAGAGACAGAGAGATTGAACTCACAAGCTGGGGAGTAGCAAGCAGAGGGAGAAGCAGGCAAAGGGAGAAGCAGGCTGAGCTTCTCCCACTGAGCAGGGAGCCCGATGCGGGACTCGAACCCAGGACCCTGGGATCATGACCTGAGCTGAAGGCAGACGATTGACTGAGCCACCAGCCATCCCAAAATTCATATTTTTGAGGAGATCTCCCCCACAGCATCCCATAAATAGTCCAAGAGGCTTGGGAAACCTTGTTCTGAAGTGTCATGCTCTAGGCAGGTGGTGCCAAGATTCACAGATGCTCCGTAACCTCACTGCTCCTCTAGACATTGAGTATGTGACCCCCCATTACAGAAGTCAGCCTCTGCAAATGGCTCCCTCCCTCCAGCAGTCCATGCGGAATTCTGAACTGGTAAGAGCCAGGAGGCTAGAAAAAGGCCCTCATGCCATTCCATCAATCCGGGAGTCTGTTAGGGACGTCTGTTAGAAGGCTAACTAGACATGATAGGAAAGCAAGCTAGACAAGTTAGAGAGACAGATTTCTGCTCATAGTGTGACTCAGAATCTTGGCAATGATGAACTTGATTGGCATGCTGATGGGGGACTCTAGGCCCCAACTCTTCCTCCTGCTTTAACCTTATTTGGGTGGAGGCCTGGAGAAATTATTCCAGGCAAAAACTCTCAAAGACTTTATGGCCCTTGGGGTCCAAGGACCGTGACCCAGTTTTGTCCCCCCCAGTGCGTTCCCTCTAGCCTGGCACTGAAGCAGCTACTGCCACTCCTTCGGATCATCTCTGATCACCAAGGAACGTGGCACCCCAGCCGGCCTGCCATGGGGCCCCCTGGGAGATGGTGGCCTGGTGGACTGTTTGTGGGCTTTGCATTTGGACACCTGAGCTAGAGCCAGGCTCTGGTTTACTTGCTGAGGGACTCTGGGCACGCTCGTTAACCTCCCTGAATGAGTGTTCCCATCCCTCCACTGCAGGCAATAATGTCAGTTCCACTGGGTTGATGTCATGTATAATAAAGTGTCTAGCCTCTAATTTATATCAAATCTCTTGCCTTGGGACCTTTCCTAAGAAAACTTCTCCAACGTGTTCCGGTCAAAAACACCCCCTTCCCTAGCTTCTTCTGCCCCTGATTGTGTTGTGGCTCCCCTTCCCGCTCTCCAGGATGAGGGTGGGCGGGTTCCTGGCTCTCTTGCCCCCAGCGTTGTCCCCTCCTCCTGCCTGGGTCCATGCGGTATGCCCAGCAGGCAGCGCCATGTGACGGAGGCCGGGGCTGTGCTCAAACACAGCCCGCCGCTGCGCCCATGGCTGAGCCTTGTACCCGCGGCTGATTTGCTGGGCGCCCCCAGCCCCCGCGCTTACCAGACTCGCTCCCGCCAACCAGCAGAAATAGACTTCCCGAGTGCTCCTTGTACAGAGCAGAGCTGAGTGGCGTGTTCGAACCTTCCTAAACCTCCCTGCGCTTCCTCATTGTTCTAGGCTCTCTTTAATGGCTCACTACTTAAGAGCAGACCCTCTCCCTTTCTCTTTCCAGAGGGAGCCTTCAGAATATCATCACTACAGCTCTATTCCACCGCCCCCCCCCCCAAAAAGGAGCGCATTACACGGTGACAATTACAGAAAAGCTTTTTATCTATGGAGAGAAGTCATTCTCACAACCACCTCTGGGCTTGCTCTTGCGTCTCACTATTCCTGAGCCCTCCTCCGCCATCTGCTGCCCACACACTCTGACCTGCCCGCCCCCCCCCAGCTGCTCCTTGCACCTGGGGACTCTCCTCTGACGTCCCTGCCTCCCGCAGCTGCCTGCCAACCGCACCTGGCCTCAGGACCCCGGAAATCGCCCTGTGGTTCATGGGGTGGAGAAAAAAAGTGAGGGAAGGGGGATCTGCTGTCTCTCTCTCTCCTCGTTGAATAGATGAACTGGACTTCCTCTGTGGGCCTTAATGGTTTAGTTCATCAGCGTTCTACTCCGGGCTTGCTTTCCATCTGCCTTTCTCCTGTAATTCTGTATTCCCCAGTGACCGAGCTGCAACAGCCCGGCCGGAAAGACCACAGATGGCTCACTCTGTGCAAAGAGGGCCTTTTTTTTTTTTTTAAGATTTATTATTTGAGAGCGAGAGCACACATGAATGGAGGGAGGAGTGGAGGGAGAGAATCTCGAGCACTGACTGAGCCCCCCCCAGGCGCCCCCAAAGAGGGCTTTTTGTATTGGTCGTTAGCTTTCTTGGTTTCTAACCCTGTGCCTTGAGCTTTGCTCTTCCCACTTGTGCCCTGCATGGATCTGGTTCTAAGTCAGGGAGAACAGCACAGGGGCGTCTTTCCTAGTCCAGGGCCTGGCAGTCAGACGCAAGGGAGGAGAGGAGAAGAGATGGGAGGAACAGGCTGACTGGTAGGGTCCAATGGCCTTCTCTGAGGGTTCAGGGTCACTGGGCCCCTCAGGTAACAGTGCTCCCCCTCCCACTGTGGAAGGGGCACACCACACACACACACGGACACAAACCAGCTATTTTTTATCTCCATTTAGCTCCTTCCAAACTACACAAAATAAAGGGCCTCTCATTTGTGTCGCATTGAGCGCTTTCTGTGTTGATTTGCTTTCCTTCATGTGCACGTCTCCAGCCCAGAGAGCCAAGTGAGTACTCAGTTGGATGCACAATGGGTGATTTTAGACCCTTTTAACCCAGAGGAAGTAAAAGAGAGGAGCCAGCTGTGGTTTGGTGCATTTAAGCCATCCAAAACAACTTCTTTCTAGTTTCCTTCCCCCAGCCCCCCCCCCGGCCCCGCAGTCCTGAGGAAAATCCTCATCTGCAGACCAGCTCACAGGCCTAGCCACAGGATTTCCCCTTGCCACAGCCTCTAGAACCCACTGAGGCAAGGGCCCCTGCCCAGGGCAGGGACCTACCTGTATCTGAGCGGATAGGTATTTAGAATGTTTTCTTCATACAGCAACTATGAAAGGATGAGAAACTGGGCAAGTCATATAGAGAGTAGGCAGGTGATTTTTTTTGTTCCTTTCTAAGAAGTTTTGCTACGGTTATCTTCAGGGCTTTGAGAAGTATTTGCCATCCCTCCCCTTTGGATGGGATCGCCAACAGCCTCCTATCAGAACTTCCTTCCCAGAGGGCCAGCCCCATCCTTCCAGATTCCTCGGCCCTGACACAGGCTTGGCTTTCATTTCTCTGTTGGTTTGCAGGGAAGGACATGGCGGCCGTGCAGAGGACCCTGATGGCTCTCGGCAGTGTTGCGGTCACCAAGGATGACGGCTGTTACAGGGGAGAGCCATCCTGGTTTCACAGGTAAGTAACCCTTCCCGCCTCCCCGTCCCCCTCCCCACCCCCCAGCAGAGGAGGATTTTACCAGAGAGAGCATCTGAAACCCCAGAGGCCATTTCCACACAAAGCCCTTAGGAGCAAGGACTGGGGGGGGGGGCACTCCTGGCCCACAGCTGATTGCTGAGAGCAAAGAAAGAGCCATGCTGCCATGCGGCCAGCAGCCCACCCACCCACAGTGGACTCGGTTGAGTGTTTCCTGCTAGATACCTGGACCCTCCAGCTCTGGCCATGCTCCTTCTCTAGAGGCTGAGCGGGACTGGCTGGCTTTCCTCAGGAAGGTGGCTTGAGGTCTGAACTTGGTTTTATTCTGATCTAAGAAGCCCTAAGTCAACTCATTTATCTATTCTTGCACTCACTGAAGAGAAAATATGTCCTGGTTCATGCCTGTTGTCCCAGTGAATTTATTGATAACAGTCACTTTCACTTCCAAAAGTAGCCTGGTCTGGATAATGTCTTATGTGGTCATGTCAGTAAAGGATTTATTCTGTTGTTGTTGTTGTTGTTGTTGCTACTGTTTTCATGGGTGGGGGGAAGCAAGGGATCTCAATCTAAGAGCTCTGTGGGCAATGAAGACAAAAGAGCACTTTGTAGCAGATAATTGACCCTTCATTTCCCTAATCCCTCTTTCTTCTTCTAGACTGTTATAAAAAGGTACCAGTTTAAATGAACCTGGTCCGAAAACCTCCTAGATTTTGGCCGGTTGAAACTCTGGTTTTAGTCCCAGCTTTGTTAGTGACATACCATGGTTTATATGACCCGCAAAAGCAAAATTACTTACTATCTGGCTCTTTATACTGCAGCTTGCTGACCTTTGGCGAGGAAGAAAATGTTTCCTCCTTGACTCCTAGGTCCTGTAGCTCTAAAACGGGAACATTAATACTTGGCCCTGCACAGGGAAAGGTGGATTGGGATTAATGACCTGCTTTGTTAGAAGAGCTGTTTGTAATTTTCACAAGGGCTTGAGGTAACTGTGAGAGAGTGGGTGATAAGAAAGTTGTCTGAGAGTGAAGTCCTCAGAGAGGACACACTGATTCATGGAAATTCTGAAAAATCATCTGGGTTCTAAGGAGTAGAGAGCTCATGTATCATGGAGCAGCCTACTTGGAGTAGGGCTGTAGCTCATAATAGGACCATAGCCCAGGGGAGGAACATAGCCCAGGGTAGGGCTCATAGATCATGGTAGGGCAATGACTCAGGGTCAGGTCATAGCTCAGAGTAGGGCCATGGCTCAGGGTATGATCATCGTTCCTATCAGTACTGTAGCTCAGTACAGGGCCTACTATTCTATTTGGTGACCTTGTGTTCTATCTGGTAGCACCCCCGGGAGAGCCATTCTAACTGCATATATTGGGAAGGGTTTGAAAACTGTCAGAATGACTTTATTCCCCCTCACCTCCTCTGCCTAGGAAAGCTCAGCAGAATCGGAGAGGATTTTCAGAGGAGCAGCTTCGCCAAGGACAGAACGTCATCGGCCTGCAGATGGGCAGCAACAAGGGGGCCTCCCAGGCGGGCATGACGGGGTACGGGATGCCCAGGCAGATCATGTGACATGCCGCCTCCCACCTCCCAGGAGAGAGGACGAATGTTCCACACCACGGTCTCTGTGATAAAGAAATAGTTAGTCACCTTCTGACCTTCTCCTCTTTCTCAAAGCCTCCCGTTTGTGGTTTTTGCAAAAGTGCTGCATTTCCGCTGCGAACCCGCGTTGCCCACTGCTGCCACCTTGCGTTCGTTTAGAACTATGCAAAGACTCCGCCTCCTCTTCCTGAGCTCCTCCTTGGCCCCAAAGTCACGGCCTTTTGTCGGATTATTTATTTATTTATTTGCCAAAAATGCCCCCTCCTCAACGTATTAGAACACACCTAATAAACAAATTAGTCTTGTGGCTTCAAACGTAAACTTCGTTCTTCGTGGCAGGGTCTTGGCTTGCAGGGCTGGCTTTCCATTCGCTCACCGGGCCAGCAAGATGGAATCGAGCCGAAGCTGTAGGTGGAGAGATATAGGTGAGCTTCGAGGAAGCCCTAAGAAGGTTGTGTTGTTTATCTCGGCAATGGCAGTAGAAGTGTAGGAATAGTTTTGCCCACTCGAACAGCCTATAGCCATGAATTCAAGAACAAGCTCTTTGATCCCGTGGGTCAAAGTTCCTACCTTGCTCTTATGATGCTAGACTGGGGGTGGGGGGAGATGCGGGAATGAGCAAACCAAAACCCCAGTTCTTAAGGGACTCTCATATGGATGCCCAGGAAGTATTTGCTGGATGGGTGGTTTTATCAAATGGATGGGTGACAGCTGAAGGAAAGAGCTGTTGTCACTTCTGTACCAATAATCTTCCCCCTGCAGGCCAGACCCTGGCTCTGCTGCCCACATTTATACAGTTTTTTTTTTTTTTTAAGATTTTATTTATTTGAGAGAGAGAGCAAGGGGAGGAGCAGAGGGAAAGGGAGAAGCAGACTTTGCACTGAGCGAGGAGCTGGATACGGGACTTGATCCCACAACCCTGAGATCACGACCCTAGGCGAAATCAAGAGTCAGATGCTTAAGCGACTGAGCCACCGAGGCGCCCCCATACTGTTTCTTCAGAAACCAGGAGTTAGAGGCAATGTTGATTGCTCCCTTACACTCAGTTAGAGGGTCTAAATCCCTAAAACTGTTGGATATTGCCTAAGACTGAGCTCTAGCTAAGATGGATAGGTTCAAGAGATTCTGTCAGCCATATAAAAATTAAGAAGGCTAATAAACCTTGGGGCCAAGACTTAATCTTATTCTCTCCTACCAGTAGAAACAAGAAAAAAAAAAGGGATGCATTTAGTAAGAAAAGAAATAAGGCATTGTATCCATACCATGAATTGTTAATTAACAAGACAAGATAAAAATAAATGAAACTGTAGATATTGTCACCGTCTAAATGTTTGGGTGGTGGCTTTTCAGACTGTGTTCTAGGCTTCCATAGAGATTTCTATGGGATCCCCATGGGGTGGGCAGTGCTGCTTATAAGAGGCAGAATCCTGGGTCCCCATTCCTTCTCCAGTGAGAGCATCACTGATCTTATCTATTTTATATATTAGGATTCAGCATAAGATTTTAAAAGACTTTTAATATTAAAAGAAAGCAAACAAGAATCAGTAAAAGGAATGAGTCTGAGTCACCTAAAGGACCTAATGTGTCCTGGAGGAACCCTATGGACTCTGACAGCCAATGGTGGGTGAGTTGTCCGTTCCTGAAAAGATGTCACGTGAACATGGTGGCTGAACCCTTACCTTGGAGTTGCCGTAAAAGCAAGAGAGTCAGGTTGATGGTTCCCCAAAAAACTGAAATAAAACTGGGAGGGAATTCCTGGAGAGAGATAGAAGGTGGTCAGGTCCCTGTCTGAGATTGGGAGTGGGGACGTGGGACATAGCCTCCATCAGCGGTGGGGTAGGTTTGGGAGAGAGCTGCTGGGCTCTGCCTGTTTGGTTCCCCACACCGCCCTGGTTCCACCACTGCTGTGCCAGAGACACAGAAAAAAAGAGGCAGAAAAACAGTGAAATCAGCTCAGAATGGGAAGGAAGTAGCCTTCCAAATCTAGGGAGTCCAGCCCGAGTGAGGAGCAGGTGATAGAACACTGATAGACTTGCGGGCACCTGGGTATTTCCTCCTCCCAGCATGAGCGCCCCCACCCTCTCAGGCTCCCACCTCTGAGTCCCTTTGCAGGATGACAGCCTGGAGATGAGGCTGTTAAAAAAATGGAGGCCCTAGAGGGGAGAAGGTGTATTGGAGCATAAGAGTTAACACAGCATGAGTGAGAGCCCAGTTTGTAATTCCAAAGACTACCTGCCTCAACACAATATTTCCAGCTCCCAAGAGTCCCCAGAAGCAATCCAAACTGGAGCCTGAGGTTTTTTCCCCCTTTCCCCACTTTGTATTTGCAATCAAGGTAGCAGATAACCTTAGGGCAGTGTTAACTCACAGGCAGCATCTGGAAGACTCCTGAGGAACAAAAGTACCGTGATCAAAAGACACACTGGATCACCCTTACCCCATGAAGTAGAATTCATGGACCAGACAGAAGAATCATTTAAAAGTAGTCTAATAAATATAATAAAAATGATAAGAGAAATTATTGGACACATGAAGCAATAATCCATTATGAAGAAAAATTAAGTGGGGATAAGGAACATAAAAAAAATAAATGAAATAATGGGGCGCTTGGGTGGCTTAGTCGATTAAGCAGCTTTCTTCAGCTCAGGTCATTATCTCCGGGTCCTGGGATCCAGCCTGAGTCATGGCAGGCTCCCTGCTCAGTGGGGAGTCTGCTTCTCCCTCTCCCTCTGGCTTCCCCCCGCCCCCATGCACTTACTTGCTCTCTCTCTCAAATAAATAAATAAAATCTTAAAAAAAAACAAATGAAATAAAGATTGAGAGTAGAATGAATAAAATGAACAAGCTAGTAAGTTGGAATATCAAAACAAGGTATTCCGTAAAAAAGATAGGCACAAATAAATGGTAAATACAAAAAAAAATGTTAAGTGATATGGGCCAAAAATCATATAATTGGAATCTCAGAAGGAAAGGAAAAAGATCAATATAGGGGAGGGAAAATTTGAAGAAATTATTTTGAGAATTTCCCAGGGGGAAAAAAAGACCTAAGGACTCAGTTTTAAAAGACTTACAAAGATTCCAAAAAATAAATGATAAGAGTCCTTGGTGGGAAACATTATAGTGAAATGTATGACCACTAAGAATAAATACAAAATTCTCAAAGCTTTTAAAAATCAAAGCCCATTACATATAAGGGGGGAATATCATATTAACATTGAACTTCTCAACAGTAACCTGGAGACATAAAGTGATATTTTCGAGGAACTGAAGGCATAAAAGAAAACATTAAACATGTAATTTTCTACATAGCAACTAATTTTTTAAACCCAAAAGTGGAGCAAAAATATTTAACAAAGACCCTCTGAAAACATAAATGGATTAAGTATTCCAATTAGAAAAATATCTTACTAGGAAAATGCTATTTGATATGGGAAATGAGGAGAAGTTAGTGAGAACACCAGGACTAAACAATAGAGAGAAAAAGGTTATCTATAACAATCCAGGAAAAGAAAAAGAAAGTGTCCTGTTCAGAGGAAATATAGAGATATTGATAAATTTAAGAAATTGTTAGGAAAAGACAAACACATTTAATATTGATTCCCAAACCCAACAAGAATAAGAAAATTACAGACTGATTTCACTTGGGAACATAGATGTGAAAAATTCTAAACAAAATAATATCTAACCAATTCCAGCAGTGAATTTTAAAAATCTGTTAGAATGAACTCTTTGCTCTCTTTTTAAAAGACGCCCCCCCTTTATTTTTAAACTGGATGGGCTCTTTGGGGCCTATCCCTGCCTAGCCCTGAGTAGAGGCTTGAACCCTTTTCCTCTTCTAAAATCATTGAGAGATCACCTAGTCTGAACCCTGAGTTTTATTCATAATAATACTAGAGACCAAAGGTGAAATGACTTTTACATCATTTGGCTAGTTAGTCTTTAGAGGCTTCCAGAGAAACACTTGTTCATTTTTATTACTCAGCCTTTCTGCTAATCCTAAGTCTTCCTAAGGCTTTATTAAGCCATATCTTAATGTAGCATTCTATTCTTTTCATTTATTTATGTATTCAAAAACTGTCCTGGGGATCAGCAAAAGCCATCTATGTGCTGAAGGTATGGAAATGACTAGAAAAAAAAAAAAAAAAGGAAATGACGAGAAAACCATCCCTGCCATCAATCAACAAGAATTTACTGAGTCTTCAATATATTTATGGAATTGTATTATAAACTAGGGAGACAAAGAAATATGAACATGGCTTTTAATGGAATGAATTTGTAGTCTAGTTGAACAAACAGAATCTACTCTGCAGCTCCTTGTATCCATTGCTTGTTGAAGGGCCAAATGAGAGCCATGTCCACTTGGTCTCTCTGAAGGAAGAGTTCTCTGGGCTGGGCTGGCCTGGGAATGTTTGCCAGAGGAGACTGGACTCAGGAGCTTCTGCTTTGTGCCATCCTGGGAATGTAGGGGCTTCCTTACCATTTGCCCCAACCTGCCTGCACCCAATAGAGCTAAAACAACGAGGAACACGCTTGGATTTCCAGACAAATCCTTGCTGGGTAGCCTCAAACAAGAGCCATGGTGACGTGGGAAGGACCTGTGGTACTCATGCTGGGGAGCCTCATTCCATCTTAGACTGCCAGGAGACAGAGCTAATGGTCAGGATCTTAAAAGAAGGCCCCAACATTGTTTGTTCTCAAGTATAGAATTTTCCATGGTGGGACGCCTGGGTGGCTCAGTCGTTAAGCGTCTGCCTTCAGCTCAGGTCATGATCCCGGGGTCCTGGGATCGAGCCCCACATCGGGCTCCCTGCTCCACGGGAAGCCTGCTTCTCCCTCTCCCACTCCCCCTGCTTGTGTTCTTGCTCTCGCTCTCTCGTTCTGTCAAATAAATAAATAAAATCTTTAAAAAATTAAAAAAAAGAAAAGAATTTTCCCTGGTGATGATTGCAGGTCCACCACGGAATCAACACATCGAGCTCTCGGCTTCAGACATCTGCTTCAACACAGGAGCCACGATCAAGGCTCCTGATGATCCTGGAAACAAAAAGATTTGCTAATGGCTAGTGACATCTGTAGGGACGCCATCTGAAGTGTTGTGCCTGGTTGCAGTGTGACTGTATGTCCCACTTAATGGTTGTCTAATATGTCAGAGACAGAAAGATGACTTAAGAAAATGTCTGACTCCAGGCAAACAGGCTAGGCCAGAGTTATATGCTTTTCCTATCACCCCTCCCACCAACAACAGTGATTGAGGCTGGTCTTATGTCAGTGGAAATGCAAAGCCCAATTTTCATAAGGCCTTATTATTTTTTTTT